TGGCTATATCTCAGGAGGCTTATCCTCGACTGGATCCTTTTCGTTGTCACCGTTGTTCTCTTTGGGTGTATCCACCATGTATACGTCATACGAGGAGGATGTTGTCCGGCGCCCTAAAAGCGGTGGTTTTTGTGCCTGCTCCTCTCCGGCATCGCCGTCCACACCGTCAATGTCTTCAGAGCCGTAATCTAGCATGTCAGTTAAGTCTTCGACAGTGTCTATGAAGTGGGTGGTGGGTGGGAAGCAGAATTCTGCGTCATCAGCTTCCAATCCAAACCGGATATAGTTTGGCTGAGAGTCCCCTGATAAGGAGAGGGCTTTTAATGAGTTTAGCACATCGCCTAAAGGTGAGTGCCGAAAGATGTCCGCGGAGCTAAACTCAATGATCGGTGCCTGATCAGGTTCGATGGGCGCGGATGCACGCGGTTCGAAAACTATGGCTGGAGACGAATCCGAGGTTCCGGAGACACATGCCCCGCTCGAGGTTGGATCTGTGTGCGGCTCTAACGCCGCTGAGTCTGCGGCTTCCGCGGCGGGGTTGAGCTTCCCGTCCTCGGACGACACAATCTGCTCCGGATCCAAGGCCAGAGCAGTTACATGCGCTATCTCCTGGGCACGGTCCGATGACAGATTTAGGTCATGTTCGTCGTGGTGGCAGGGAGCAGCTGCCATGGGCTTGAATCCGTCGAAGATCAAGTCTCCGCGGATATCGGCAACGTAATTCAAGCTTCCAAACCTGACCCGATGGCCAGGGGCGTAGCTGTCGATCTGCTCTAGATGGCCAGCGAGTTGGCCCGCAGTGCGAAGCCGCCGAATACGAAGATCTGTCCGAGGAGGAAAACCTCCCTTGGACTGCATTGTTGTAGATGATTGAGGGAGCCATCAAACCTTTTGGTGACGACACAACGGACCTCTCAATGAAAGCACCAATGTCGATGTCAAAACGGGCGGATCTCGGGTAGGGGGTCCCGAACTGTGCGTCTAAGGTTGATGGTAACAGGAGGCGGGGGACACGATGTTTACCTAGGTTCGGGCCCTCTCGATGGAGGTAATATACCCTACTTCCTGCTTGATTGATCTTGATGAATATGAGTATTACAAGAGTTGATCTACCACGAGATCGTAATGGCTAAAACCCTAGAAGTCTAGCCTGTATGATTATGATTGCCTCTACGGACTAAGAACTCCGGTTTATATAGACACCGGAGGGGACTAGGATCGTACAAAGTCGGTTACAGAGAAAAGAATCTTCATATCCGGGCGCCAAGCTTGCCTTCCACGCCAAGGAGAGTCCCATCCGGACACGGGAGAGAGTCTTCTGTCTTGTATCTTCACGGCCCAACAGTCCGGCCCATGCTACATAGTCCAGCCGTTCAAGGACCCCTTAATTCAGGACTCCCTCAGTCGAAAATCGAATACGGCGGACGCTTCTGGTGACTTCGGAATAAGAGTGATCAAGGCTTGGTTAAGTCTTCCAAACCCCCAACCATTTCCAAGGAAAAGCTTGTGAACCGCCGCTACTTATCTTGATTATTTCCCAAGCTGTTGGTGGATGGGTGATTGTTTGATCTGACATGTCTAATTGCAACTTTTAGGCACTGTGTGTGCGTGCGTGCTTGTGGCCTGACAGAACAAACGTGATGTGGCAGGCTCCCTTTGGCCGCTAATTAGCCCGTCACATCAGCATTATTATTGGCCGAGGCCACGCTACGCCTGTCGGAAGTAGAAACCCCGCTCCATGCATGGTGGATGGTGCACCCGCTGCGTTCCTACACCACGTACGTGAGCTTGCTGTTGCTAGCATGGCAGAAAGACGGGCATGCAGTTTTTCTCCCACGAACACTGTCGTAGCAGCTGCTTGCTTGATGCTTCTTATATAAGCTTACAGTTGACGTATGTCTTCGTGTTTATTGGTGACTGGCCCCGGCAAGTGTCTTCCCACGAACACTGTCGTAGCAGTTTTTCTGACCGATCAAACGACGATGCCAGGAAAGCTACTCCGTCTCCAGACATGCATGTGTGGGCCCAAGTCAGCTCAATCTGTCCACATGCATGGCCCACTAATTGGTGGCTGCTGTCCGAGGACGCTAGCCGCTGGATCCATGCACGTGACTGGCCCCGGCCGTCACTGGTCCTCCGTTGCCGTCCGTGTCAGCTCAGCCATCCACTTGCAAATAGTGGAGTACTCCAGCGTGTAGTGCTGGGGCTGGACACCTACCGAGTACGGAGGGACACGCACACAAAAGTGCATACTCGTGGTCGTGCCGGTGCCCAAACTATGCTAGTAGTATTGCTTTGCTAGGGCACACTACAAAATTTACCTGAGTAAGTACTCCTTCCGTTTTGAATTACTTGTCGCACATATTGATGTATCTAGATGTATTTTAGTTTTAGATGCATCCATTTCAGCGACGAGTAATTTGAAATGGAGGGAGTAGCCAACTGTGGGCGAGTCAGTGCTGAGCCTGAGCTGCATGACCGCTTTCAATCAATGAGTGGCCCGTGGTCTGCGCGCCGCCTACCATGCTGTCGGCGGTGGTCACGGCGTCCGTGCTAGGTGCCACAGAAACACATGAGGAAACCGTGTGTTTACGTGTCCGTGAATCGCCGGGAAAGCCGTCGTCTAGCCAGTGTGTGGAATCGTGCCTGCATGTGCCATGCATGCCAGCTCTGCTTGCGTACGAGAGTGTACCCGATCGATCTGGCGTCTCTTCACCCACACCCAGAGCCAAGAGCAGCACGTGAGTTGTCCATCTCACTACTATTGTTCGTGAGTACGGTGCACCGGTGCAGTGTCAGCGTTATGTGTGTGCGTGATATATGGGTGCTTGGATCCAAGGGACTATTTTTAGTCCGATTAAAAATAGTTTTTTTAGAGGCTAAAGTTCCAAGCACCCTTGATTAAAGAGAGGCTAGGACTAGTCTTGAGGCTAAAATCTTTTAGTCATAGGAAACCTACTAAAATATGTATTAGCCCTCTCTCTCCTTATTTAATTCCTCTCCTTTAACACATTCGAGTTCTGGATTGGAGGGTTTGGAGGATAATAAATGCTCAATAACTTGATTTTAGTCTCTTTAATATTTGGATCCAAGTATGGGTGAGGCTAGCAAATTTTAGTCTCACTATTTTTAGTCATGGGACTAAAACGTATCCAAGCACCCTCATAGTATCGGGCTCGGCCTGTCCGCCCGGCCACTTGGATGTGCTACCTTTCTGCACAAGAGGCAACTTTAAAGCAACTCCAATGGGACGACTCATTTCGTCCGTCGCCGTTCGTTTGGGTCGGCGCGGACAGAAAAGTCGGCCCAACGCGCCGACCCAAACGGACGCGCGTCCGCTTTCGTCCGCCTGCCGACCCATTCCCGGTCCATTTTGAGCCGGATTTGCGTTGGCGCGGACACAAGACGGACGCGCGCGCGCTCGCCCTCTCTCCTCCCCGCGCGCGCACACCCTCCACCGCCTGCTTCGTCGCCGACGCCGCCGGCCATTTTTTTCCGATGAAAAAGGATACATAGATAGTTCTTGCGTACACAGATAAAAGAAAAGATCAACTACTCGTCGGTTTCCGACTCTGACTTGGTAATGTCCTCCTCCGACGTCTGAATATAGGCGTCTGCAGCCTGCTCGTCCTCGAAGTCCCACCCCAATATTTCTTGCAGCTTCAGTCTCAATTGAATGGCCTGCTTCCGTGCACGCTTACCCTCCCGATAGGCGGCTCGCTCCGTCCTCCTCGCCTTCCTCTCTGTCCTCCTCTGCTCATACAACTGACGTTCGTCAACGATGTCCTGTGGGAAGCATTCGCGCCGCACCACCAAGGTTTGCACGTCCATCTCGGCGATGGCGAGGCGACGCTGCCGCCTCCGGTGGACGCGATGATCCTCGTCGGTGGACAGCCGCGGGAGAGGCGCCAGATCCTGCGCCCGCTAGCTCGACACATCGGGAAAATTCATCTCCTGACTAGGCTGCCGGAGGCGCCACGCTGCCGCGTCGTACGCGCGGGCCGCCTTCTCTGCAGTGTCAAAGGTGCCGAGGATGAGGCGTTTCTCGCCAAACAAGATCTCGGCGGAGAAGGCGACGGAGGGGCGCTCGCGGACTCCGCGAAAATCCGAAGCGCCGAGGATGTGCATCGACATGTTGGCGCACAGGCAGCGAGGCTAGTGAGAGGGGGGGCGAGACGAGTGAGTGGCGAACTAAGTGTGGAGGGAGCGTCTTCTTATAACGAGCGCCGCATGCGGCGCGCCAAAACAAGCGCGCGAACATTTCGCGCGCTCTGGAGCGCCAAAGCCAGCACGCGCTAGGCCGATTCCCCCCCCCCCACCCCACCCCACCCCACCCCGCGCGCTGGCATGATCTAAAAGCACACGCGGTCATGAAATGGGTGGGCGCGTTGGGCGCGCTGCCGACCCAAATCTAAAAGAGGGCGGACGCCGGGCGGGCGGCCGACCCAAACAGACAAAATGCGGACAAAAGCGCCGTCCGTTTGGTTCGGCCCGTTGGAGTTGCTCTTACAAAGGTTTATTCCAAGGAGACCTAATATATGCAGAGTAAACAAATAAGGAAGGTAATACAAACTAAAATATCCCAGTACTTTTCACTCAAATTTTTTATTCCAGTACGCTCTCTGTCTAGCACGATGGAGTATGACACGAGAAAATACCAAACATACTAGGCGCGCTTAGGGGTAATTTTGTTACATAGGACCCTACCACGTAAATGGATTAAATCTAGATGATTGTGGAGGGACTGAGAAGAATCAACGAGCCGGATGTACCACTTTGGACGCCATGACCATGATGCTGTAGTGACATGTAAAGATGCACCAAAAAACCGGTAACATGCTAGATTGAACATGTGCCCGAGATTCTCACGGGTCATTATTAGTGTAACTCACGATGCACTCACACACACTACTTGAACATGCTAATTGGACATAAGCTGCCTGCTTGCCGCTTCTTAAGCCTTTGCGTCTTCATGTTTATTGGTCCTCGCCTAGCTAGAACTATCCTTTGCCGCTATGATGTCGGCGCAAAGCAGAGTCGAGCTTCCATACAATATCGTCCGCTGCGACAGTGAAGCCCTCGTCTACCTGAAAGGGAAAAAAAATATAGACTGGTTAGTAAAATGGAATGTAAATATTTGTTTGATTTTCATCTGTTAACAATATAAGATGCAATTCGACAATCGTTGCTTAAGTTTAATATGGCTGACGATTATTCCATATATCTAGATTGTGTGACTTAAACTTTGTACCAGTGATCAAATTTATTCATAAGTATTCTCTTACTGGTGTAAAAAATTATCTTACATTTTGAAATGGAGGGAGTATTTTCTAACAAGTTTAAAGTTTGGTCAACAGTATATGTGGGCGTGAATCAAAATTGGTAATGTTGATCAAGTTTATTCATCAACATTTCCTTATGATTGTGATTTGGTAACAATTATTGAATATACATACAACATTTGTGGCAATTGTGAACCGAGAGTAGCTCATATAGTTAGTTCTCTTATGGTGGAACTAACCCGGCCAGCAGGGTTCAAGTTATAGATTTGGCGTTGGTGCTCACATTTTCCTAAATTTATTTATTCGTAGAATGAGTGTATGTGCGTGCATATGAGTCTCTTTGATTACACCGTGTTCCAAAAACATTTGTGGCAATTCGCTACGACTCAAGTAAGGTAGTCCTTTAGTTCATGTATAAATTTGCACAATATTTTGTACGGGCCACAAGTTATCTGCTATCACTAGAGTTATTGTCTTTCTTGATATCACAAAATGTCACCCAAACAAAATAATTGTTTGTACGGCAACAAGTACTAACTCTGTACCAAAATGAAGTCGTTTTTATAGTTTGATTTGAACTGCAAAAACGTCTTTTATTTTGATACTGAGGAGTACTAATCTAGAAATAAGAAAATGTGTAGATTGAAGTGATGAACTTGCCTTCGCCATGAGGTTTATGATCAGAGTGGAAGCCGGGAAAGACACGACATTGGTGTGTGTGATGCTAAGGTGGAGCCCCTCGACCTCGGCGAGCAACGTGACAAGGACCCCTTTGCCGTCCTGGCAGTGGATCCTCATCATCACATTGCTCTCCGAGATCCTCGCCTCGATCTCCGGCAATGGAATCATTGTCGTGGTCAGACCTCCTCCACCTGCTGCTGACGGCGGCGGTGACGGGAAGCCATCATCGCTGTTGGAGATGCACGGCCTCTTCACTAGCACCACGGAGTCGATGCTCCTCACGTCACGGTCCTGGAGTGCCTTGAGCTTCTCCTGCTGCTCCTTGACGTACCTCAGGGCGTCCGACAGGATGGTCGCCTTGTCCATCTGAGCGGAAAATGATTTGGTCAATGCTGAGCTGAACTGCTGAAGTGAGTGATGCTACCACAAATTTATTTGTGTGAGAAATGTACAGACCTTCTTGAGGCCGGGGATGACGGTGGAGAGCTCGATGAAGCGTCGGTTGATCTTCTCCCGGCGCTTCCGCTCCGCCACGACGTGTTCCTGCACGGTCGGCACCGTCCCTGTACTGGCGCCTGAGGATTTCCTCGACGGTGGCGACCTGTGCGCCAGCTCCAGCACGACGTGGCCGGGAGCTGCGGGTGGGCTCGGGGTGGCCTCGATAATGCTGGGCGGCTGCGGTATGGCCGAGGTGAAGTTCCAGGCTCGCGGCCGGGTAGTTGGTGCTGCAGTTGGACGACCAGCCGTCGTTCTCCACGGCCACCGCAGCGCCACTGTCGCCTGAGCTCCAGCTGTCGGTGGCTCCGTGTCGGTGGGCCGCCATGTGCGTGCCGTTCTGCAGCTCCGCCGGGTTGTCGAACTCTAGGAGTGATGACGGGAAAACGTCTCCGGCGGCGGCGGCGGCGTCCTGCTCCTGCTCCAGCGTCTCCATGGCCCACTGGATGAACATGTTCGAGTCGTCCATGCTCGCTCGATCTCCAGCCGGCTACTTCTACCTGATCGAATCACTCCAAAATAAATGGTTTATAGCACAATTTATACATGACGAATAGATAGATGGATCTAACCTATAAATCACACACTTACCTGACGAGAAGACACATCATTGCATATGATTGCACGGTCAAGTACGAAGAACACATCCTTGCAAATGGTCTCCGAATCCCTCTCAAGCTTTTACTTGCTAGCTATTGTACTATGGGAAACAAGAAGCATCTTCTATGTGGAACAACAAGATACCCCTATCACGTGCACCTCACCTCAGCAAGACCTCTTTTCAGTCTATGATTTGTCCTTTGCATGCAGGGTTTAATCCTTGATTATTTTTGGAGGCCCATGCACGTATGCTTTTGTGAGAGATTACATGCCCCATCTATCACACCATGCTAGCTCCACTCTCCCATGCTTTTCAATTGACTTTTAGTTTTAGATATATTATAGCTTTTGAATAAAAGTCAAATTTATTTTTTGTTTGCATTTCTGCTCGACGAGGACTCTGAAACAAGGTCACTTTCGAATACATGTTTGGCTCGTTTTAAAATGTCACCAAGTCAACTATTAAAACTTGGTAAGAACTAAGGATGTTAACAAATTTGTAATCTTAAGTTTCTACCAAGCTTTACAAAGTGCCTTGCACCAACGGAGCCCTACTTGCCCATTGGATGGTATCGTTGCAGGCGCGTGTCATGCAGTGCCACAACTTTGAATTAACACTCAGGAACAAGCCGGCTGCCGACGATGAAGGACTTGCTGCAACCCCGCTATATTTGCCACCATCATCATTGCCACTAGAGTCGCAACGCCACCAGATTTGAAGCGTACGCCCCGACACTAGTAGAAAAGAGGGCTTTGGTCTAGGCCGGGTTAGCCCATTAGTCCCGGTTCAGTCCAGAACCGGGACACATGGGGCATTGGTCCCGGTTCGTGAGCCAAGGGGCTGGCCGGGCCACGTGGGCCATTTGTCCCGGTTCGTCTGGACCTTTTAGTCCCGGTTGGTGCCATGAACCGGGACTAAAGGGTGGGACGCCCATTTTAGTACCGGTTCGTGGCACCAATCGGTACTAAAGGTTAGACCTTTAGTCTCGGTTCGAGCCACCAATCGGTACTAATGGGGTTTGAGGCATTAGTACTGGTTCATGGCACGAACCGGTGCTAAAGGTCCCATTTTCAAACTCTACCCCCCCCCCCCGCGGATCGCCTTTTTAGTTTTGTAAAAAGCAAAAGAAAATGATAAAAACTTCAAAAATTAAAATCCTTCCAGATGTAGTTATGTTACTACATTTACTAGGTAGGAAAATTTAAAAACTTAAATTTGGACATGTTTTGCAAGAAGTGTAGGGAAAATGTAAAACGGCTATAACTTTTGTATACGATGTCAGACAAAAACGTATAATATATCAAAATGTTCAGCACGAAAATCCGCATCGATTTTGACCGGCTACGGCCTGTTTGCAAATTTTTAGAATCCTCGAGTTCTAAAAGGGAAAAAAGTTATGCTCAAATTTTAGTTTTTTTTTGAATTTTTGTTAAATCTGGTCAAACTATGGTCAAACTACTTATTCAAGAAGTATTAGTGTTACTAAATAATTATTCAAGAATATTAGTGTTACTAAATAATTATTTCAGTTTTTTTTATTTTGGTCAAATCTGGTCAAACTATGGTCAAATATGGTCGAACCATGGTCAAACTAATTATTCAAGAAATATTAGTGTTACTAAATAATTATTTCAGGTTTTTTAAATTTTGGTCAAATCTGGTCAAACTGTGGTCAAACTACTTATTCAAGAAATATTAGTGTTACTAAATTATTGTTTTTTAGAACAATAGTTTCAAACTCAAACAGTGAAATGTGTGACTTCATGCTCAAGCTGAATTCCTGAGGTTAATAGGATTGACATCTTACTATTGTCAGGAAAACAACAAGTGCAGACTTGGAAACGAGGGAGAATAGAATCCGGAAGTTAAGCGTGCTCAGGCTGGAGTAGTGAGAGGATGGACTTCCGTCCGGGAAGTTAGATGATGAGGGATGATTAGAGGTTAATTGAGCAGTGATGAGGGGTGATTAGAGATGAGAGGTTAAAATAATTCAGAAATTTGAAAACAAAAAAATTCCAAAAAAAATTTCAAAAAAAATTTCAATTTTTTTTTCATAAAATTTCATTTAGTACCGGTTGGTGTTACCAACCGGGACTAAAGGTGGACCTCCAGGCAGCGGCCACGTAGAGGGCCTTTAGTCCCGGTTCGTGTAAGAACCGGGACTAAAGGAGGAGGCTTTAGTAATGACCCTTTAGTCCCGGTTCCAAAACCGGGACTAAAGGCTCTTATGAACCGGGACTAAAAAACCTTTTCCTACTAGTGCGACATCCACACCATTATCACTTGTCGCCACCTGTTCACTACAACGTCCACATGGAAGCTCGGACGGGATCATCGGTTTTCAAGATGATGCCTCAAAGGAGGAACCTTCACGGGAGCATTGGAATCTCCTGGTTGAGTAAAGAGATAGGCTTTCTCCTGAAGAACCAGATCAAAGAGTGGAAGAGATAAAAAAAATTCCCATGGTGGTGCCGCCAAGGTGGAGAGCGACGCCCTTAGACGCTGCCATCCCTATCCGGCGAACGTGAGGCAGGCTTATACCCGAAGCAACTCAAACCAATCACCCTCGCGAAGCCGCCATACCAGCCTGCACCTCTACTGACCCTCATACACACTGACTACCTCGTCCCCACGCAGGACCTCGGCCGATGGAACATGCCTAATCTTTGTCGCGCTAGATAACACCATGTCTAATCATTCATGTAGAGAGGTACTACAAGCACTGATTGCCAGCTAATCCTAAATATCAAAGTAAGTCATCCTACTTAAATGCACATGCAAGTCATCCACATCATTAAGCACGTGCAACCTATCCATTTTCTTAATGTTTCGCTTTTCACCATATGCAAGCCCTCCACATTATCAAGCACATATGCAAGTATTCCACCTTTCACTTTCCACAATACGCAAGCTCTCCATGTCATCGTTTATATTTATTTCATTTTTAGCAAAAAAGATAATTGAAATTGAATGTCACAAGGTAGTATAATATGTATCAATCCTACATTTACCTATAAATTTCTTACCACCATATGGTGAGAATGTGGCGTGGTATTATTGTCATATATTCTTTTTTTTTGATAATTTGAATGCTATAAATTTTCATAAAAACGCATGGGGTATTCGTTATTTTTTTTATAAATGGAGGAGGACCCCCGGCCTCTGCATCTGGACGATGCATGCAGCCACTTTATTAATTATTCACACACGACCTTACAAAGTCATACAAAAGTAAGACTAAAGCCACCGTCTAGGCAATATCTGTCGCTACTCTTATCCAGTTGATGAAGGGATGCTGTCTAAGACCTGAGGTCCCAACCAGGACGCTTGCCGGGTATAGGGCACCCACCAGTCCGGCGCACTTCTCAACCAGGACGCCTGCCGGGTATGAGGCCGCCGCAGCCACCTGCCACCAATCCATCTTTAGTGTTGTACTGCTGCATGTACCTTGCCCGGTCTAGCTGCCGTCGACGTCACCACGACGCCAGACAATGCCACCATCCTGCGCTCGTCCATCATTCCACGCCCACCGGCGAGACCCCGCTGCACCATGCCGCTTAGACCCGCCGTTGTCGACATGTCAGATACCACGCCGCTCCTCCTCTTGTCCCCTCCAGCCAACACTTGCTCCAAAACGATGCCCCTAGAAGGGAGAACGACATCGAAATGTCGTCATCGTCCGATCCGGTAGACCCAGACCTAGGGTTTCCCTCGGAACCTTCCGATCAGGTTGGTGTGAGCTGCAACGACGATGCCTCGAGAAGGGAACGACGTTCGAGACGCCGCCATCGTCCGCCATGACCGCAGTCAGACGCGATTTTCACCGGAGGCCACGTCGTCCGATCTCGTGGTTGGCTGGAACCGAGCGGAGTCTCTCCACGAAGACGAACGCCGCCGTTGGTAAACCGGCGGAAATCCGACATCTCCTCACCAATCCCTCCACGCGCCGCCGGTTGGTGGATCCGCGGCGGGGTATTCGTTATTAGAAGAAAAAAAAACCATTGATTGAGTAAAGGCCTAGACGTGGCTCACTCCCAACCATGTATTGGTTGGTTTATTATGGTGACACGAAACAAACTGCTCTGTCCTTTTAATTACGAGCATGTCATTTCAGACTGTAGTAAACTGCAACGTTTGTAATGTAAAAGGGAAAACTTTGTTTTTGCCACTCTAATTTTTGCCAACTTTGCTTATGCCACTCTAGAATTTGACATTTCACTTTTGCCACTCTTAGCTTTTGACAATACATCACTTTTGCCATTCCCTGGCA